CTCTTACTCCACCCCTCCCCATCATCCTATCCATCTCATACTCTGCCCCATCCCTATCATCCTATCCATCTCATACTCTGCCCCATCCCTATCATCCTATCCATTTCCAACTCCATATCCTCCCCATCATCCCATCCATTTCCTACTCCGCCCCCTCCGCATCATCCTATCCATCTCCTACTCTTCCCCCTCCCCATGATACCATTCATCTCCTACTCTGCCCCCTCCTCATCATCCCATCCATCTCCTACTCTTCCCCCTCCCCATGATACCATTCATCTCCTACTCTTCCCCCTCATCCCATCCATCTCCTACTCTTTCCCCTGCCCATCATTCCCTTCACTTCTTACTCTGGCTGTCCCATCATCCCACTAATCCAGCCCAACCATTACGCCAACCTTATCTAGCATTTCATCCACTTTCTACATACATGTACCTTGTCCCCATGATCCTCCTCCTACAGATACCCCTCCCCCCAACAAACATACTAATCTGTCACTTGGAGTCCCCCCCATCCCTTACATTTTCCTCACATACTGGACATGTACATTTGTATGTGTCTAAACACTGTCTATACATACATGTACATGTTCATTACAGCAGTGCTCAGTACGTACATCTATGTACTGTATGTACTACAGTGTAAGCACACAATACAACTCAAAACTTTAACATTCAACTTTTATAATTTCAACAGAATCAGTTATCTCTTTTCTGTTGATGACAATGGCGTTTGGTCTTACGTTCGCAACTGTCTATGCCATCACCGTAGAATCCCTCTTTGCAGGTGCAGCTGAAGAACTCAGGTGGCTTCAAGTCCTTGCAGTCTGCATTGGTGTGGCAGGGTTTATCGACTTCACATTCATTTATGTCTGCAAATAAAATGACATGCCTTGACGATAATGGGGTAATAATGTTGTAGAGTGCTTTGATCTATGCTAAAGGCGCTTTATAGATACCTATTTTATTATTATAATTATTATATTGACATGGACATTTTGGTTTCAGAATCTAATCCATACTAAAAACGTAACCATACATGTAATGTTTACCAACTTACTGTGGCCAACTAGATTGAATTGGGCACACATGTTTCATATTCCTTGGAAATTATGAAACACTGTCAGAACACAAGTGTAAAAAGAATTAAATTGAAAGTCTACAATCACATGTTTGAAAACAATGAATTCCCAAAAGGAATCAATACCTCTGGTATATCTAGGGGTACAGATGAGGTGCCAAGTAAAAGAATTTCACCGAAACTGGAAAACTTAAAGGATGGCCATTTGGCCACACTCCCTTGCCTAGGAAAAGGTGCTCTAAATCTGACTCTACAAGCAATTATGTGCCACATTTACCAACTTAGGTACACCTTTATGTCGAGACTGAAAACTGCTCTTAGGAAAGTGCACATAACATCTCATTAACCATTCTAATGAGTGGGTACTTACTTTCACACGGAATGCCTGAGAATCCCTCTCTGCACCTGCATTCTGCCTGGCCGCTTTCATCGATTATGCAGTTCGAATTGTCTGTGCAGTTGTTGGGCGAGCATTCTGTACCTGAAGAAAGTCATAATGGAATCATCAATCATTGGAAAGTTACTCTCTTCCTTCATGCATGCATGAAAGATTACAGCTCACCAACACCATTGTCACCTGTCCTTTGCCTCACAGGTTTGCCTCATTTTTAAAGTAACAAAAAGTGGTACAGAAAGCACTGACTTGGAATAACAAAGAAGCTTTCAGGAGATCACATTCAGTACCATCACTGCATGCCCCAAAAGCTTTCAACTTCCATTTGCGCTGAATTGTTTTCCAATCTTCTTCTAGTGGACAAACCATTTGTCATATCTGTACTTCATTCTTTCGTTGTTTTGGGGAGGAGGGGAACTCATCAACCAGTACCTGATTATTACTTTGTAATCTAATCCTGGTTGTTAATTCTCAGATTCTTAATATTAGAAACTATTATTACTATTACTATTATTTTCGTTGTTGAAACTTTAAAGGTCACAAAATCATTTCAATCCCACATTTTCTGTAATGACCCTCCTAACTCACTTGTGACGTTGACCTCAAAGGTGCACGTTCCTATATTGTTAGCTACGTCAACAGCAGAGCAGATGACCTCTGTCATTCCGTATTCAAAGATGGAACCTGAAGGCGGTATGCAGAGAGCTGTTAAACCGTCAGCTGGGGGGTTGTCGTCTGTCACGTTCACAGTCCATGTGTAAGTGGCTGTATTTTTACCCGGATCAACCGGTAGGGAGGTTCCAGATGGGCAATCCATAGTTGGCGGTTCAGCATCTGTAATTTTGGACACAAATGAAGTTAATCACTTTCATTCTGAAAAAGTAACTATCAGCATCTATAGGGTTGAAATAAGACGTAAACCACTAATTTAAAACAATACTCAACCTCTACAGCCATGTGAATAAAATCAGTCACGCCTGAACAATGTTGTGTTATGGCCTTTCCTACATCAGGATTTGTTTCCAATTAGAGAAGTTCCCTTATTTTTTGCCACAAGTTTTAACCTTTTTCAAAAAGCTTATTTTTTTTCATAACTGTGACATTTTAGAAATTTGAAAAAGTAAAGACTTCCATTTTTTGAAAATTAAATTCTAGTCCACAAAGAACTGGCATTTAATGAGAACCAACCACTAAATACAAATAATCAAAACTTGCATCTTGGTAGGAATGAGATTTTACCTAGTCCTCAGTCTGGTGCCAAATGGCTTAAATAGTGTCATCAATGTGACTGATTCACATATAGTGTGGCACCAAGAGGTTGCGGCATAGAGACCATTTTTCAATTTTATGATTAACAGCATGGCCAACTTGTCGCAACTTGAGTTGCATTTGAGAATGAATCAATTTGAGGAGTTTGTTTGATAATTTAGGGATAAATTAATACTATTACTCGAAATTATCTTCTACTTGGATTACAAACATAGGGAATAATTCATGTTCTGGCAAACAGAATTTGCTAACAATTTTACACAATGCACTGCGGAAAATGGCCTCTCTGTAGGCACTCTGTATCTTCAAGTGACTGTATTACAGATGACAAAACTCTAGAATTTAAGGAGTTGACTGCACATACCAACAGTGACCGTGAAGGAACAGTTTGTGGTGAAACTTGTCCCGGCATCTGTAGCAGTGCAAGTGATCACGGTGACATTTTCAGCGAGAACTGACCCGGCCTCCCTGTCGCACTCGACAACGGCAAGCTCTCCGGTGGTGTCCGTGTTACCTTTGGCACGAAGCCAGTCAGGGGATACGACGGCCTCGCTTCCTTTCACGACCAGATCGTCACTGCAACTCACATTGAAGGTGGGTGCTGGAGGATTTAAAAAAAACAACAAACAGTTTTTGGGTTACTCTAGTTAGAGCTCTACATATCAATCAAGTGTGGTTACAGTTGAAAATGGCAAAGCTCATCTGGTCTGCTCTTGTTAAAGATTTTCTTCATATCCATAGATTTGTAATTTGTCTTTTACCTCGCGATCATCATGTGAAGTTTAAAACAGGTTGATTTTCAGGTTGACAGGGAATTGTAGCTTGGTTTTTGGCTACTGACCATTCAGGCAGAAATTAGCTACAGTACATGATTGTGCGAAAACAGAAATAACAGCTTATTCAATTGAAAGATTGAAGGAGTAAAGAGAGTGTGGTAGCGTAAAGCAACACTAAAAATGGACCACTGGTTTCTTATCTTTTTTGCTAAGTAATGGCTTTATCTTCTTTTAGCTAACACTTGAGCTCCACATTCAGCTTCATTTCAAGTGTCCGCAGTTGGAATCAAATGAAAACACACTGTTGCGATAGCTTATGTTAAAGCTTCACACAAGAAAGGACAACAGTGACAATACGTTGAAGTCTCAAGTACTAAGTCGAAAATTTGGAAAAATGCTTCAGACTTTTAAAAGGAACTATTCCTGAAGTAGCATAACTTCTTTTACCTCTATTAAGAGAGTTCTCTTCACCGGAACTACATTTTTTCTCACCAGTTGCAGATTTGGATATGACAAAGAAGCACACTCAATACTCACACACGAATACATCAAATTTGCAGGTGTTGATGAGACTGTCCAATGTGCCGTCAACCGCAGTGCATGTTACCTCTGTTGCTCCAGCATCAAAATCAGTGGTGCCACTGACAGGCTCGCAAGTGACATCGACTACGTTGTTGTCGCTGTCGACTGCTGTTGGATCTTCCCAAGAGACTTTGGAAGCTGTGCTGCCGTATGGGTCTGGTGGCACGTTAACTTGATCGTGGCACGGTGTGGCATTAAAGGTTGGAACTAAATGATACGTACAGAAGTTATGCCAGTAACATATTTCAGCAGACTGGCGTATCCAAGGCCACAAGAAAAGGTTCATAGTTAATTCAACAAATTGAGTTTTGAAATTTTAAACCAGGAATGATGCACTTCACCCAAGATCATTTCTATCCGTTTCTTATCAAAAATTTAAACAAATCTGAACTGGACTTTCTCATCACAATTAGTTGAATCAGGTAAAAACTGGTAGACTGTGGATCATTTGTTCACAAACATTTACAGTTAAAGCAACCAATACATTTGAGACTAAAGCAGGGCCTACCCCCTACAAGTTATCATGAGTGAAGGGGAAACCTGTACCTTCACCAACAGTGACCAAGAACGAACATGTAGCCTCATTTCCAGTCACTGGATCCGTGGTATTACAGGTTACTTTAGTTGCATTGTTATTTGGGAACTCGGAACCAACGTCCGGCTCACAGGTAACGCTGATTTCAGACTCCATCGAGCCTACAGCTGTCGCTTTCTGGTATTCCACTGGAGTAGTTGGAGGGGAGTCGTCTGGAGTAGCGATTACATCACTGGGGCAGGTTATGATTGGATCTGGAAAAGTTATCAAAGCACGATTTAAAAAAATCAAAGACACAGAGCGTGAGCATGTGTCACCCAACCAATCATCTGTTAGATCCACGGAATAGTAGAAACTGAAATTCTCTTCAAACTTGTCAGTGTTTTACACACAAATACAAAACAAGATGAACTACTAAACTGCAATAAATGACAAAGAGGACGTTTCACCAACCTGCAGATTTTAGAATAAATTAATTTAATACTTAACAAGGATTTTACTTTGAGCAGAGATATCTCCTGTTTTAAATTTCTCAGAATACTCCTTTTTTCTTGTATCTCCATCACTTTTGGAGCAGTGTCTTTTCTAGTTTCTGATGGGGAGTCAAACAATGTAACAAATTTCCAAAAAAACAAATCTAAAGTATAAGGAGAGAGTTGCAAGAATGCAAATATTCAGCCCTCATCTTAATGTGTGCCTTTAATCCGATAACGATTGCCAAATTGCTAATAAATACTCACACACTCTAACTTTGAAAAAGTTGATTGCCTCCACCACAGTGCCTGAAACTGGCAATTCATACGGGGCCACACACTTGACATCCGTCTCACCCGGGGGAAACGTAAAGCCGGACTCCGGCGTGCACTTGACTTCGCCTTGCTGGTCTCCTGGGAGTGTTGAAGTTGGCAGATTCCAGCTAACTACAGCTGTTTGTTGTCCAAGATCTGGACCTTGGTCGATGTCCTGAACTGGGTTACTTAATGCCGGCACTGCACAGAAACAAGACAGGAAGCCTTTCAGTGTGAGGGTCACCACACGGGCGTGGGGCTTTAACACTCTCCAGTATTCTTCGCAAATGAACAGATTTATGAATAACATGGAATAAGACAATATGACAATGTGCGCAGATTTGGCCATTCAATTATCTAAGACAAACCCTTTTGAATAATTATTTCCAATGGGTTAGCACACTCATGCTTCTTTAAATCTTCATGGACGGTGCAGTATTCTGCAGTTTTGCTGCTGAAAGATTTCTTTTTACGTAAAACTAGCCGAACCAAGGAAAGTCACAACTAACCAAACCATACAAGCAAAGTCACACCAAACAACCCCAGCCAACCCCACAAAAGTCCAAGTGCTACCCTATATGGCGAAAGGTGGAACCAGGATCATTAAAATATAGGAATATAACTCAGCAAGCAGCAACTATGTCCCTCCTCCCCTTTGTGTTCCTGAACCTAGACCAATTGGTAAACTATACCCTAAATCCCCAACCCCAACCCAATCCAACACCAACAAAAACCGAAACTAATCCAAGCACAGAAACAAATGTTGCCTGGAACTGAAATTTGCATGAGAAAATGAAGGGAAAGTCGTCTCTGTTTTAAAAAGAGCGACTGCAGCTACATACTTACCCACACCCACAGAGGTGACACAAGTGGCATTTTCGGTTGCTGACTGTTCGGCTATGCATTCCACAGTAGTCTTCGTGCCTTCAAATTGGCTGCCGGATGGAGGGTCACAGGTCACAGTGACCTCGTTGCCATCTTTGTCTATTGCAGTTGGATTCAGGAAGGCTACTGTTGCTACGTAGTCATCAGGATCCGGTACTTGGTTGATAAATTCAGGACAAACATTCTCAAATTTTGGATCTGGAAAGAAAGCATGTAACGTTTCAAAAGCAAGACTCAAGATCTACTAGGTTTGTTTCATACTGGTGGGGAAGTTCTGTCAAAGCAATAAGGGATCAAGTCAAATGGCAATCTACACTAGATCTTTATTTTGCCACTGCGTATCATCGTCATCATCATCGTCATTGTCATCATCATCGTCGTCATCATCATGATCATCATCATCGGCTCTCAGGCCAGATTAGCTGGTGTATTTCTTCTCACATGTCACGATCTTAATACTGGCTTTGAGCACATAACACTGTTAGAGGATGACCACCTAAATTAGTACAGGAGAAATGACCACTGTATGGTTAAAGGATAAAGTTTACAAGAAGGCATTGTTCCTTGCATTTTTACTCATTTGATGAGACAATGATGCATTAAATTGCATATACATTAACCCATTACTCATGATTTAGCCAAGGAAAAGGATTGCTCGATAAACAGATCAACACAAACAGCCATCCAGATTTACGTACAAACTCTGACTTTGAAGCTGCATGTAGTTATCAAGGTCGGCACATTCGTATCAGTTGCACTGCAGGTAACATTAGTATCGCCTCCTTGAAACCTGGTTCCACTTGCAGGCTCACATTGCACAGTTGCTTTGGTGTTATCAGCTTGTGTCGCTGTCCGCTCGGGATAGTCCACGTTGCTGGCATCTATGCCGTCGTTGGGTGAGACGATGAAATCTCTGGTGCAGTCCGGGTCAGGATCAAATATCGGAGCTGAAATTTGACAGAAGTTGGAAAATTTGGGTGGACACTTCTTCAAACGAGGGTACTGTCGTAGGTCAACTTGCCCCCCCCATGCCATTAACCCCTTACCATCATATGTTTTTTAAGGCATTATGGACCAAAAGGGGGCAAATTACCAAGTGGGGTGAGTTGACATGGAGGTGAGTTGCAAGGAGTTTGTCTGGGGAAAGATGCTGATGATTAGTAAGGTAAGAGTGACTGAGGGTATACACGAGTTGATTTGATTCCGTTCACGATACTCTGTCAATTCAACCAGCTTGTAAGGCTGCCCATCTAAGAAGATTTCACAGAGCAACTTTTTTTCACTGAGCATTTTTGGATGAGAATAATTATTTGCACTGACACAATTTGCTTAGTGAAATCAAGTATTGATTACAGAGAAAACCTAAATGAAATGATGCAAGGTTTAAAATCACTCTAGTGGCTTTTCACTCTTCTAAATAACAAAGACTGATCACCAACAGTCATGCAATCTCAAAAAGATCACATGATCTGCTACAAAGTTATGTAATGAGTATTAGAATTAATGGAGCCTCGATGGCTGCAATGGAATTTTTCTACTAAAACATCCATATGTCCTATATTTTGTTCTAGCCTACATTTTCAGTCATTTTCTTCATGGTTTATTGTTGAGTAAGTAAATACAAACAATAAGCAAGCAGCCTATACATGTACTTCCTTAAAATTGTTTCTAGTGACTAAATTACGTTGGAGTTCACAGTTTGAATAGAGAAAGCCTGTACACTGAAACATATCTTTCGTAGACAACATCACAGCAACAGCTCCCTCACTTTTCCGAGAAAGCATGGATAATTTGAAATGTTTAAAAATATGCACTTTATATGCATTTATCTTCGAGGGATATCAAATTGTCTTCATACACTGAGGACAGATATAAAGTTACAGAAAAACGGTGTCTAAGTAAATTTTACTACTCTATTCTACAAGGTATTAAGTTTTCCTTTCAAGCAGCTCTTTTGCCTTAAACCACTTTCATCCCCAATTTTTCCAGCAGTCCTGGTGAATATTGGACTGATAATGACCATCCATTAGTACTGATTACAGTGTTGTCTCTCCTCCGAAAGCTGGCCAAAGTTCACCTAAATGGACTCATCATGACTACAGCCCACGTACATGTATAAACTTGGACCTATAGAGTACCGAAGTGTGACATCACCGTGAACCAGAAAGTGCAGTGCAAACGAATGGAGTACGTGCACGTGTTGGTGTACGCGCTTGTTGGTTCACACGCTGGTTCTCGCACTGATGCCTTTTACACACTAATTGTGACGTATTCACTTCGGTACTCTGTTAGGACACGATCTGGCAATTAGAAGGCCCAGATACTCAGGCTGTAAAAATGATGTAATTTTGCACCGTCAATACTTTATCACTTACAGTGTACATGTAAAAGTATGTTGCTGGTGCTCGATCTCAAGGGCATGCCTATATTAATCTTTTAGATTTCGTTAGCACAGCCACATCAAGCAATGGCATAAAATAGTGCTCACAATTAGCAAATGTTTCTGCTAAAGTTAGCACAATGTTTCTCCTTAAACTGTCAAGCAGCTCTGTGAAATTGGGCCCTGCAGATCTTTCCCTCATGGCCCACATGTAGGCTTGCTACCAGTATATAAGGTGCATTCAAGAAGCCTTTTCAAAATATCAAATAAATTTTCAATAGTTTAGAAGCAAAAACTGCTCTTAAACCTGAGGCTGATTTTTCCTCTACGTAAACTCTGGAAAGAAGGCATTTTTGCTTTCTTAAAACAGCACCAGGCACCAAAAAAGGCTGTAAAAATTAAAATGATCGGTAAATGCAGGACTAACGTAATGAGCTTCAGGTCCCAATTCTGATTGGACAATATTCATGAATTTAGTCCAAAACAAAACCCAATGTTCGTGGAAGGGATTCTGAAACTTTCTCTCTCTGGTAAAGCATTTAAAATGTAATTTTTACGAATATAACTTTGGAACTGCTTATTTGCAGGCATACTTCTTCCAAAGGATTGTATATAAAATGCTTGTTTGTCATCCCATTCTAGATCCATGATGCATTGTCAACATCGCAAAGGTAATCATTTCAAGTTCAGTCACTACATGTTTATGCTATTGGCTATTAAAGTCTTTTTGCTTTTCCAGTCTGTCTTCTCCAGATAATGCTTCCTTAAAAAAACGCTTGTAGAATTGCTTACCTTTACCAATTGTGACATTGAAAGAACAAGAAACACTCTGTCCTGCCTGCACACTATCGTTAGCTGAGCAGGTAACAGCTGTCACTCCTTCAGCGAACCCATTACCCGGATTATAATCACAGGTAACATCAGGGGCTGTCCCAACAGAGTCAGTCGCGACCGGCATTGGGAAATCTACGGCACTGCCATTTGCCTGTACTATGGCAGCCGGGCAGCCGGTGGTAAAGATAGGATCTACGAGTAAGAGAAGTGAGTAAAAAAAATAAATAATAAAAGGGTTTGACTGCAATTATCATGATACTGCTGCTCAAACAAGAAAGTAAAGCACTGTAGATGCAACGAAGAGTAATATGTAACCGATATTCTTCCTTAGCCTAAAATGAAAACTAAAATGAACTGGAGAGAGGTTATCCATTCTGGATGCTTTCCAATCATACTTCTGAAGGTCCTACAGCCCACAACTCAGCAAAACACATCGCTAACATTGGTCAAGGCATTGGACAATATACATACATAATGACTGAGTGACCAGCTGACAGTGTTAGCCACTGGCCAGCAACATATCGTGCACTTCACTGTCCAACCTCCATGACCAATTAGGGTAACTGTAGTGAACCAGTTATGCGGCGGGTGGGTATAGATATGGTGGCATATTTGTTGGGTGAATGTAGTGGATACAGACACAACACCAAGATTTGGAAAGCCCTCGATGTCCGAAGAAAAATGTCATTAACTACATAGCACGGCTGGATGGGTGTTGTTTTAACAAGGAAATAGCCCACTCTGAACTGGAAGTACTTACAGACGCGAACTTTAAAATCACACGTAGTTATCAGAGTTGATATCGAAGAATCCTGTGCTGTGCATGTAACATTTGTTTCCCCACCACTGAATGTCGCCCCACTAGCTGGTTTACACTCCACATTTGCGACACCGCCACTGGCGTCCTTGGCTGTCCGCTCAGGCCAAGAAACTACCTCTGCCTCATTTTTGCCAGCAGTTGGTGCAACATTGTAAGATTCCTCACAATTTGGGCTTAGGTCAAATGTCGGAGCTGAAGTAAAAGGCAGAAAAATCCCATAAAAACTAGAAATTAGATCTCTCTGTGAAAATAGTGTGATGTCAATTGGTACCCAAAATCTGATTTCACTGGAAACTGAATCTCTCTCTGAGGAAAGTCAAGTCCAAAAGTTTTTGACAAATCTATGGAATAAAGAAATATGACAACAGACTGTTGCACATTCAAATTCTTGAATGTTGCAAATTGTATTTAATATAACTGAATACATGGGGATAGAAGCTGTTCAAAATAAGCAAGAAAGCCTTGACCCAGTTCACTATTAAATTGATAGAGTGAGCAACAGAATTCCGGAAAAAGAATTTGAACTGGAGGAGGGATATCAGAAAACACCTCTGTTTTCCCCCGCCAAGGAAAGCTAAATTTGAATGATCTTGATACACTTGACCATAAAATCTTGTACCTGTATAATTAGTTCAAAACAAGGGTCCCCTTTGTTTCTCTTCTGGCAATGACAAATCTGCACAATGATTATTTTCCAGATTAAGTCTTTCCTTGGTGAATTTATAGCAGATCTGTTGTATGCAACAAGCACCCGCTGTATGAATGCACCGTGCTTTGCACTTTAACCCTAACACTCCTCAATCCTTCACCTGTTGGAGGACTGAGGAGTGTTAGGGTTAAGACACCAATAAGACAACAATAAAGCAGCAAAGACTTACAGAAGACTTTCGTGGGTTGAAGTATGTGTAAACCAATTGATAAACCAATAGCCACTTCAGAGAATGAGTCTGGCCACCTTTCAAAAAGAAACTATTCCTGTGGGCCTAAACTGCTGGATGTTTAACATTTTCTGCTCAAAGGATTTATATGTGACTCTGTTAATACATAACAGGGTCAAAAAGAGTGAAAGGAGCAACAATGGGGATACTGAGAACCCGGAGGTTAAGTCTATATGAATATGGTACCCCACATGGGATAATGCTGTGGTGTTGGAGATTTCAATGAATGAAAAAGAGTAAATGGCCAACTCTCCTGAGAGTGGTGCCCACTGAACGGCACTGAGAATGGTTGACTTTTTACCGTTTTCAGATCCATATAGGCATGATGGGCATGCAGTGACCTGTATAGGCACTACTCTGCCCCACTGAAGGACAGGGAGTGGCCAAGGGGCACAAGCCCCCTGTCCTGGGCAAAATGCCCTTTACTTGTGAAAAACAAACAGAAGAGGGAGTTTTGGAGTAATGCTTCCTTTCTCTTCCTTCCTAAAGCAGGTAAAACCCCCCTTTTTTTGCCCCACTTCTCAGAGCAGAAAGATCGCAAAATGTTACATAAAGAAATTCCAAAATCGGTTGTCCCCCCAGCAAGTTGGCACTTAAATAACTGGTTATGATGTACCATGGTTTCTATGGGACCAATTTCATAGCCCTTATGGCACCAGCCTTACATTTCATGTTAATGAATACTTTCTCTGTACTCTCTCAAGCAAAAGATTTGAGAACCTCAATCTCACAAAGAGGGAGTTTCTCATAAATTTATTCAAAAAGAGTAAAAGCCAAAAGGGTGGAATGACTCAAAAAAGGGCCATAAAGGACACCTCAAAAGAATTTCACTATTTTGGAGTGGTTTCACCCTTTGTAGAGTGGTATTAAATCTTCAGCAGTGGTTTTATATATGATTCACTCAATTTGAAAGGGAGTTTTTCACTCTTTTGCCTTTAGAGAGTACTAAGATGCCACGTATAAGGCATATACCATAGCAAGTTTTAAGCTTTTCCAAAACTGAAAATTGAATGAGAGAAGCACATCAAAATATCACTATGATTTTTTCATAAGACCCAAATTTTCTCAGGCCATACTATGCCTGGCTGTCAGGAGTACTTACGAATGCCAATTGTCACAGTAAATGAACAGCTAGCATTTAAGTTTCTGTCAGTATCAGTTGCTGTACATGTCACTGTGGTTAAAGGATCAGAAAGGGGGTCACCGCTCTTCGTGTTGCACAGGACATCTACGGATTTCCCTCCCGAACCAACGGCAGTTGGAGTGTCAAAATAAGCCTCGGTATCATTCTGGATGATAGGAGAGGGGCAGCCGACTGTAAACTTGGGAACTGTGGGGAGAGGGGAGGAAGAGTTGACAAGACTGTTCACTGTCCGGCAGTAGTGAAACTGGGGTTCATTTTTAGGGGCCAGTGGCTTATTGTCATAATGCTGATCTTACAAGCTATATTTTTACTAAATTTCGATTTAAAAAAGTACAACTGGAAATTTTCTTATGGATGGGTTTGGCGAGGGTGCAATTCGGGAAAATGGATGTCCCTACAGCCCCTCCCACAAACCACAACAGAACTGCAACCACACAAAATCATATGGGAACTTTCCATACCCTTTCTATACCTACATGTATGTAGAGAATTTTAAAATAACCCACCGTTCGTATGACACCTTGACACTTACACACATGAATGGTGAAACTACACTCTGCCGTCAATGCTCTGTCGCTGGTGTCGACTGCTGTGCAAGTGACTACCGTTGAACCGGCTTCAAACTTGTCAGTCCCGACGTCTTTGTCACAGGTTACGGCTGCTGGTTTTTTGTTTTGATCTTTGGCACTTGGAATGACCCATACAATCCCCTCCACAAACGACGCCGATCCGGGCTCAGCGTAAATGTCATCAACACACGGAGACTTATCAAAGGTCGGTACTGGAAAACAATCATAAAAAGAGAATAGCAACATCCTCAGACATTTCTGTTTTCCCACTTTATATCTTGCCAGACACTTATTCCTCATTCACTAAGAGGTTCTACTATGTGCATAGTAAGCCCGATCTACTAGACCAAATATACAATAAAATGCTAATTTTACTAATGTCACTCTGAATAAAAGCTACAAACCGACGCAAAAAAGGGAATTTCGAATTATAAAACAGGCGAGACCAGAATGGCGGAATGCAACGAACTGGAGGGTTTTGAAACTAATAAAAGCAAATTCGGGAGGCCAAAAGAAGCAACTTGGGACAGATAGTAAAGAAGCTCGCATTAATGATCAGAGGTATTACTACAACTTTTGGTATCTTATCAGCATCTTCATATCCCATAACTGCATAATTTTGCCCGAATGGGACAATCATTCTAGTTTGCATAAAGCAAGCAAAATACTACATGCCTGCACAATATCCGAGTTTTGATCCTAAATAAATTACAAGACCATATTAGGGCAAAATAACACTCTAACAGAGTTAAGTCAACAAATAAATTCTTGCCTTTTGTAACATTTAACAGAAGTACAGGTCAGACTCAGCATTATTTAAAAACTGGAATATTCAAATAGAGCTAAGGTTGTGAGAAAAGAAACATGTCTATAGCATCCAGATTTTTTTAAAGAAAGCGCAGGCGGGACTTTTCGTATTTTTTGTTTTCATTTTGTCTTTTTAAAAAAAAAATATCCAACAGCCAGTTTTTACCCATTTCCAGTGTTCAGAGACCAGGAATGAAAGAACAATGTTAATTGGACTGAGAACTGAACATTGGTTAAGGAGGTTTTGACGGTTTAGTGCCTTAGTAGCAAGGCTTCAAAGGTTTACTCCTAATCGCCCTGTACCTTAATTATCCAGTTACTAGGTTAATCATAAATATCCCCTGTGCATGGATTAAATAAAGTGAGTACATTTTGGTTGATCTAAATGTGACATTTGGGGGCGATTTCTTGGGTTATAATCGTTGGATTTAGGGTGCAACGCATATCGTATTGTGCTCATGTCATTTGGGGGCGATTTCTTGGGTTTTAATTGTTCCAGGATTTAGGGTGCAATGCATATCGTATTGTGCTCATTATACATGTGTATACTCACAAGCGTAGAGGGCACATATTTTTGTAAAACTTAATTGGGGTTTCTCTGGTAAATTTAGAGTCATATAATCATTGTTTAGGAGTGTTCCTTGTGTGTGCGGCATTTATCCAGGTTCATATGAACATGTTTTACTTGGCCAACTATGGATATGATTACACATAATTGACTACTGTTTATGTTAATGTTTATAACATGTGTTTGATATTACATCAAGTGTTATCTCAGTATGTGCACATATTTATTAGTTTCTTCATGTTCATTCTGTTTTGTAGACCACAGGGTAAATAAACAATTAAGGTCATCACCAGTTTGGCCACCGGCTCCTTTTCATAGTCCTTCGAGCCAGATCCTACAACCAGCAACCCTTGGCTTTCAATGTCAAGAACCAGAATGTCTCGGACACAGCAAGATGACGTTCTTGGCCTGCCCCCCCCCCCATGGCCATACAGGTGATGGCCAACAGCGATCACTCCTCCCATTGTAGCACCCATTCCAGTAGTTCCATCGCTTCCCATCTATCTGGGTTGGGTGAGAAATACGCCGCAAAGGTACAAGCCCTTTGTAAGAAGACTCAAGTTGAGGAGTTACAGTACCAGTTAGAAGAAGAGGAGGAACTGTATTGTATCAATGATGACGCCGGACAGGCCTGACTCATGGCCGAAGAAATAGAGCATCAGGCTTTGAGAGAACATGAAGCCAGAACTGCCAAATTGTCACACCAACACAGACTGCATCGGGCTCAACAACAACTAGCTGAAGCTGAGGCCATCAGCACCTTAATTAGTGATGAGTCATCCCCGACCAGTACAACACTGACAGATGTCACCATTACTACAAGCCAAAGCACTACACCTGTGTGTACTTCCGCTCAACCTGTGCCCTCCACATCAACCATAGTGTGTTCTACTGTACCGGAAACATCTTCCCAGGCCATCCCAAGTCTTCCGACCTTTGCAGTGTCAAAGACTCCTTCAATGACTACACTTGTCAGTGGCCACCCCACACCACTGTGTGCTGATGGACATGTAACCATGACTACCAGTCACATGTCTCCCTACACAGCACATGAGCCTAAACCTCCCACTGGTTCCCCTCCGCTGGTACCCAGTATAACGGTCATGGACCTCCTTGTACGGACTTCCTAAGCTGACTCATATTCTATGACGGAAGAGAGACGGCCNTGATCGCCACATCTGCCATAAAGTATGGCGACACCGAAGCAGTCGAGGAGTTCTCCCTCGATGTCCTCTCTCTTGTGGGCATGCTACAAGGTACAAGCCCTGAAGGGGCCCAACGGTGTCGAACTTCGAACGTTGTGGCTCACATGTGGACCAACTTCTCAGCAAGCTTGCCCACAGCCACAGGACAAGTTTCATACAGCACTGCTTCAAGGAGGGTATCTTGAAGTCCAATTCCAGTTAAACCTATACGCTACTGCAGTTTCCAAGTTGGCTTTGGAAGAAAGCCCAGTCACACAGCTTTCACAGTAGATACAAGGAGTGATCATCAAAGAAAGATGCCCTAAAAGCATTACTCATGACAGCACCAACAAACCCCAGCCTTATTGTCCCTACTGTGACAACAAGGAACACTACCTCGGTGGATATCCAGAGCTCAAGAAGCTGAAGACTGATCAGATCGTCAGTTGGATCCAGGAAGGGGGACGATGTTGGAAGTGTGGTCATTCTCATAAGCCAGACGAGTGCACTCTCAAGAAGCCATGCCACTGCAAAGAAGTTCACTTAACTGTGCTTTATGATGCCGCTCAGAAGATTACCAGTTGTGTCTTCAGCGTGCAGACATGAAGCCAGACTGTCTATGTTGACAGGCCAGTCTGTCCTCAAGTTGTTATGCTGAAGGTCGTGCCAGTTCTCCTTCATGGCCCTACTGGCACCATCGAAACATATGCCATCCTTGATGACGGCTCTGAGAGAAGTATGCTTCTGCAAACAGCGGCCAAGAACCTACAGCTTAAAGGCCAGCCTGAGACAGTGTTCCTTTGGACTGTCTGTGATGACGTTGTCGAATGCCAAGGTTTGACCCTTTGATCTGTTCAGGTGTCACCAAAGGGGAAGACCTACATAAAATACACCATCACTGGAGCCTTCTCTGCCAGCAATCTGTGCCTCTTAGAATATACATACCCAATAAGGGCTCTCCAGCAGCGGTATAGTCACCTCCGTCACCTGCCGCTACCGGTGCTTAATCAGGCATCACCAATGTTGCTCTTTGGAGCAGGCCACACTGATCTCATCATCCCCAGATGCCCTATAAGATCTGGACCCCGTGGTGCATTAGTAACTATTTACACAAGGCTTGGTTGGACACTCCAAGGGCCAAATGGGAATCACTATAAATACGTGGACCGAAGATTCTTCAAGACTTCCACATTCCCGGTGATGAATGACCTTCTGCAGCACGTGCAGATGTTGTGACAGGCTTATGTCCTCCCTTTTGCAAATGAAAAGGAAGTCACCTGATCCAAACACGATCAGTTTGATCTCCAGATGTTGGAGGCTAAAACCACCCATGTCAGCATTGATGGCGTGCAACGTTATGCCACACCCCTTGTGAGAATGCCAGATGGAGAAAAGTACCAGGTGACTAAGGACGCAGTTCTCCTAACACTTAAGAGAGCCAAGAACTGACTTCAGAAACACCTACAGCTGGCAGAGAAACACTACGAACTAAAAACAAAACTGGTCGACACTGGTCATGTGAGAATTTTGCCAGTTGATGAGGCTGCAAGGACTGATGAATCCTGGTTCACTCCCCATCACACTGTACACCATAATGGGAAGTACCGACTGGTCTTCAATTGTTCTTTCGAGTATAACAACCAGGTGCTCAAAGAGCATCTCCTTCCTGTCACCTACCTGTGAACAAAAGATAAACCCCATTACATCCGTGTTAGCTTTGTCATGGCCAGGTCGAGAGTTGCCCCCAAACGGCAGCTATCAATGCCATGCTTGGAGCTGTCTCATCAGCATTGATGCCATGCAACATTATGCCACATCCCTTCTGAGAACTCCAAACGGAGACAAGAACCAGGTGACTAAGGACGCAGTTCTCCCAATACTTAAGACAGCCGAGAAGTGACTTCAGAAACACCCACAGCTGGCAGAGAAACACTGTGAACTCAAAACAAAACTGGTCAATGCTGGTCATTTAGAATTTTGCCAGATGACGAGGCTGTAAGGACTGATGAATCCTGGTTCTTTCCCATCACACTGTACACCATAATGGGAAGTACCGACTGGTCTTCAATTGTTCTTTCCAGTATAACAACCAGGTGCTGAACTAGCATCTCCTTCCTGGACCACGACTGGTACATCTCTAATTGGTGTGCTGCTGCAATTCCGACAGCATGCCATGGCCATCTCCGAAGACACAATGAATAACCCATGCTGCGCCACCTTTGCACTCAGAAAGTGCGTCAGAGACCAGAAAGAGCACGATCCTAAGGTGGTAGCATTAGTCAACAAGTCCTTCTATGTTTAGAACTGCTTGGACAGCCTGTCCTCATCCAGAAAAGCCAAACAACTGATCCATAAAATGCGCAACGTAATTGCTGATGCTGGCTTTGAAGTACGCCAGTGGGTCAGTAACACCCTTCAGTTGTAGAGGATCTGCCACCAGATGCTCGTTCCAATGGTTGTGAGCTGTGGTTAACCTATGGTGACATTGACTCCCTTGAGACCACCCTTGGGCTCCAGTGGGATTGCAGCACAGACAAACTGCAGTACCGCCACCGGATTATCGACTACGAGTCCCACAACATGAGGAGCATGTGTAAAATACTTGCAAGCCAGTATAATCCCATCGGTTACCTCACCCCATTCACTACCCGAG